CAAGGCGTCGAGCTAAGCTAGTTGAGACGAGAGATTTGATCGTATATGGTACAAAAAACAGTGTGATGAGGCTTTATTTCAGGTCTCTGAGGAAGGCATTATTTCCGAAACGTTAGACTGAATAAATATCTCAACAAACCTGCGTGGCTTAAACATTATTTCATGAATTCAAGACAATGCCCAGGTTTCATGATCAGAGAACATATAGAACATTACAAAATTGTTTCTTCTCTGTATGCAAACTTTTAGTGTAGATATAATGCATTTTATGTAAAAAAGTATGAAAACTTATGTGAGCAAAGTGTCGGTGCAGCTCAGCTGGCACCCAGGTGGCACGGTGCCAGCTCAGCTGGCACCCAGCTGGCACGGTGCCAGCTAATTCAGAAAAGTTCAACACAGCTTTCATTCACATAAGTTTTCATAAATTTTTGGGGCCATGTTCGGGTCCCCCAACGTGCATGCACAAACCAAATTTGGTGTCAGGCTATTACGTTTTGGCTGAGAGCAATGCCTTTGTTTGTTTGATGGACAGCATGCCGATGGCATGCCGGCGGCATTCTTGCGTCTCTTCTCCGCCCCGAATCTCGGAAAACGATATCTTCTTTGCTTTCCGCCCTAAAAACGATATCCAGCTTGATCCGGTGCCAGCTGTGCCGAGCCCTGATCTTTCATATCAAAATAGAATATCAGCACCGAAAAATGCCCAAGTGTATCCACTTTATTCGTAAAAAAACATCTTTCAGATTGAATGACGGTGTTTACACTTAAACAAATGAGTACAAACCTCGCTGTAGTACTCTCAGTTTTTGTAGGATTATTACGGCACATCACTGAATACATTTGACGAACGAGGCAGTTTGAGATGCGCTTTGCTAAGAGCATTGAGAAACCGAAGTTTCTTGGGTGGGAAAGAAGATTTCACTTTCAATAAAAAGAACAAAAACCTGTGACATCTCTTTGACCCAATATTAGGTCGTGACAAAATTTGCTCTATTCTAGTAAACGCCCCGAGGAACAAGGATTTGTTAGAGATCTTGAAGCATTCGAGCAGCTCTCATCCTCTTTCTATCGGTTTGAAATCATTACAGCGCAATCATTGTGTTCTTGAAAAATTACCAAAACCAACTCATGCTTTCTGAGACAATCAATTTCACGATCTTCCTAAATTTCAACCTTCTGAAAGAGTCTGAATAGCGGATGATTGGATTAAATTTTACAGAAAACAGTACAACTTTTCCACCTATGATTCTTTGACAAGTACTGTAACCACTTGATTCCGGCGGGCCTGCGACAGACACAAACACATCAAACGCGAAGAAATCTTGAAATTTGGAACTATCAAAAAGGATTACCATTAAACACTTTTCGCAGTACCAATAAGCGTTTTCGAATTTGAAAAATCAACTTTCGTGATTTTCTGGGGCAGCTTAAGGCATTGAAAAGAAGAATTATGATGATTTTTCCTTCAAAACCATACGAATCAGAAACATTAAAAATTTATCGGAAAGAGGAGGAAAAGCTGCAATAGCACTTTTGTCACTCGCCGGCTGACTTCTACGAATTTTAGGTTGATCAAATATGGAAAATGATAGCTTTAGATGATTTTCTATTAAGAAAGCATGGCAAACTATGAACAGGAGAAAAAAGTTGTACCTTTTCTGTATGGTTTGCTCTATCCACGCGTTCCTTAGGAGAGTCCTTATTGAGAGATTGTGGAACTTGATTATCTCAAAAAGCTACAGAAAGCTACAGAAAGTGAAAAAAGTTATATAGTTCCCTGTGAAATTTGGTCCACTCATCTGCGATCTGGACTTTTTCGGAGAGTTGATGTAAAAATTTAGAAAAATAGTAAAACTCGGTTATTTCAAAAAGCATGGGTCGCAGGTTTTGGTCATTCGCCGAGAGCTCATTGACTATGCTGCAATGACTTCAAAACCGTAGAGTGGGGATGAAATGCTGCATCGAATGCTACCAAGAATCCTTACAAATCTTTGTTCATCGAAATGTGGCGTTCATTCAAATAAAGCAAAATTACTTTCGGAACGAACTAATATTGGTCAAAAGCATGTCACAGGTTTTTTTCTTTTTGAAATCAAATGTAAAATTCTCTTCCAAACCACCCGGCAGGCACATCGCATCTCAAGCTGCCTCGTCCGTCAAATGTATTCAGTGATGTGCCGTAATAATACTGAAAAAGCCGAGAGTACTACAGTGATGTTTGCATTAATTTATTTGAGTGTAAATACCGTCATTCAATCTAAAAGATGTTTTTTACGCTCAAAATGAGCGCACTTGGACATTTTTCAGCGCCGATATTCTCGATTGATGTGAAAGGCAGGCTCCGATATTTACAAAACAGATATTTCAATTCATTTCAGAACTTCCTCCACAATATTGTAGGCTGACAAAATTATACTATGCAAAAAAGTCTTTTGTAATATGCTTTTCCAAAAATGCCCTGTAGATTTTTCGTAACAACTTCACGTAAAATTCTTCTCTTTCAAAATAGCAGCCATTCCATTTACCACGTGGTAGCTTCAAACAGCTACAGCTAACTTAGTTAGCCGAAAGTGCTTTGTTTGCTATTCTCAGTACTCTGTACAAGTGCATCAAACGTTTGGTTAACAGGGAGGGCCTGCCTTGATAGTTTGTTTCGTTGAGTCAATGTAGCAATAGCAATCCTAGAATGACTGAACTAGGAATGGTGCACTTTTTCAAACAACAAATCGAGCCTCAGTAATATAATTTTCTAGTGTGAGAACAAACCATTAACACCTTGTACAGAGCAGAGATGTAGTATCGTACTGATGGAGCACTTATCTCCTCTATCGGTAATAGCAGGATTTTTTGGTTTTGAGCTCGCAATGAGTTCATAGCCACTAGAAAGGAAACAAAATACTGTATCGAATGCTAGAGATCTCAATCCTTGTTTCACGAAATGTGGCATTTATTTGAAAAAAGCGGAAATACTTTCGGAACAACCTAGTACTTTGCGCAGGGTGGCTCTGACTTAGTTAAAAGTTTAGGATTTTTTTGCTCCAGTATTTTTTGAAAAGTCGTAGCTCAGCGAATCGCAACCATCTTGATTTTAAAATAACACCATAAAGAACCGAGTCGCTTAAGTTTGCAAAAGTTTTCAATCGATATCGAACAATAACGAAAACTATATGGCCCATGCCCGCTCCGCCCTGATGTGAATGTATGCAAAATTTCTTCCATTTGTTGATTGCTAAAAAAACCACAATACTTGTACCTAGACTATATCCTTAGATGCAAAATCCGCTCTGAAAAAAATTTAGCGCCGGGAACTAATGTTTCGCAAAAACCAAAGATTTTCGACTTAGCGTTAACGGCGGCTGGGTCCGTCAACTTGGCAGTTATGTTCACAATCCAGCTAGCAAACCCAGCCCCGCCCAGACCCGTCAGTAATACATTCGCAATCAGCTTGCTCATTTACCCTCCCCCCCCCCCTCCCTTTCTTGCCAACTCCCAGCTCTGTAGCTCAAACTTTGCATAAAGATTATAAAAAAGTAGCCTACGACACCCGCCCGAGTTCGGCTCGGTTCAGAAATAGAACGGAACTTGCGTACGGGCACGCAGCACACATGCAGACATTCAGCTCCATTTATGCAGTTTATGAGCGATATTCTTTATCATAGAGAGCAGCTGACTCATTTTGAAGAGATCCAGCCAATTCATAGTGATGGAAAAGCAGGATGCGCATTTCTGAATATGATGTGACAACTGCCGAAAAGGCACCTCAGCTTTAGAATTAGAGCAGATGTTTATGACCGAAGTACTAGCCTTTAAACATGAAAACGATAATGCAGTCAAAGGCATGTATTAATAGGGCAATAATTAATTACTTTAAACATATAAAGATTACTGCTTGTCGTCGAGTCGTCGAAGAGATTTCGATAGCAATGGAAGATTTTTGATCCTTTAGGACAATATCGACCTTTTACGAAATCTGAAAACAAGACAAGAGAAAACGAAAAACAACACATTTAACTAGTTTCCTAAAAGCCTTCGCCAACTGTTATATGGTTTCTAAAAAGAGAATCTTTTACCATGTTATCATTGCACATATTTCAAAATATTGAGAAGGGAAACCTTGCGTGCGTACTCAAATAAAGTTATGTTTCCGCAAATGTGGGTCTTAAAAGAAGCAAGCCAGTGGAGAAAGTGATTCATAGAATCTACATACTTCCACCGATTCTGCGCTGCATCCACGCAACTTGACGATTTGCAAGATGCGCGGATTAACCGACTACAATCGCCTGAAGTATGCCTCGGCCACATTTAAAACGAGTTAAGTCTCGTCGCGATCCGGTAATTTACCGAATGTCTTCAAATGCCGCAACAGACGGCATGTAGAGTCTTTATAAATTTAGTAGGTTGATAAAATGTCTTATCATCTACACATTAAGGATTTGTGCACGATGTGTTGTGGACAATCGGAGTATTGCCAAATCGCATCACGACTGAAATCGCGTGAGGTACGGCTAAGGCCTCAGGCCTAAGGCGTGCGCAAACTGCAGCATTTGAGAACAGTTGTTTTGAGTCGAAATGCGTCAAGTTTCCGTTCTTATCCCATTCCTGATAGTCTTGTAACAGAGCATAGAAGCATTAATCAGCTTTTGTATAAGAGAACGGAAGCGAAATTACGCAGTCACGCATACGAGAATTTTCAATGATAAAGTGCGCTTACTGTATAAATATTCGATGAGGATCATTGCTGCAAAAACATTACAAATCTTGCACTGATTAAATGAGGCAATAGTTCTCAATTAAAATTCCTTCAATACAGGTGGAAAGTGCAGTCAGCGGGTTATAAACATAGCAGCACTTATGGTAGCTTCAGCAAAACAAGTGAATGACTTGAAATATTGTGGAGTCAGATGGCGAGTGACAGCTGTTTCGCTAAGCTGATTAAGCATGTCCAAGTTAAATAGAATAAATGTAGGGAAACTGGGTCACTAGCAACAATGTTTCATCCGCTTCATCTGTGTTTCACTTTTAGCGTAAGTCGTCTTAATCTATACAGGTAGTTACACCATCATTGAGATTTCAGGTGATTTTGTGTGTTAGTGCTGCATACGACCATTGCCATGATGATAATCTCAACCATGTTCTTAGAGATAAATTGAAAGAGCTACTTAGGAAAAGAAAAGCTAAGGTAAGTTTGTTGCTGACGCTTTTTACAATCTTCTTCCAGCTTCCTCTACCAATATACAGGGTGTCCCAAAAAAGTATACAGTGTTTGAGTTTGGCAGTTGACAACTCTCTACAAAGTTTCTTGCTGAACTTTGTTTACCATTGTGTAAAGATAGCTTTAACTTACATTAAATGCACATGGAGCAATTCACCAATCGCTCTTCAATACTACAAGATTGCATAGAAACTTCCAGAATGCAACGGTAAATAAATTAAACGTCCTCCAAAAAATCCCAGAGAATTTCTTTGAAATGCTTGGCAGAATCTCACTAGTCGACCTTCACGGAAATAACAGGCTCTTCAAATGATGTGTTCACCTTCTGATTATTGAAGAGGCAGGTATTACGGTATATATGCATATCTTTTAGACAAAGCACTACGGTAAAGTACAGTTTTATTTCAAGGACTGCAGATTCTAATTGGCTTAGTGCAAGTGTTTCAGCTTGTTTGGTTCTCATTCTATGGCAAAATATAACCGTAAACGCTCAAAACCCTTCTTGAAATTTTCCGGTAATCCATCAGTAATGAATTGCTTTCGGTAATTTACACCATACTGTAAATCTAAATTGAAGCCAGCTCTACAAAGAACTGTACCTCGAACGACACTGTGGGAAGAGAGATATTAACGCACAAACAGAATACATCCTTTTGGAGCATTTTGAAGTACTGATCTTTCAGTACAATTGCAAACTAGAGGAGAAAGCTGCCTATGACATTTCTCTTTACAATCTGAATGACCCCGAAAATCCAGAAGACGTGAAGAAAATACTAAAGTTCATGAATGAAAGGACAGTTGCCTATAAAGCGAAATACTTCAAGTAAGTTCACTTCATTCATAAATTGAATTAAAGCAACCACAGATGATTTCCAGGTCCCGGGAAAAACTGTATAAGCAGATGAAGATTCTTGGAAAAGGAAGAAACGTTGGCTGTGTTCATCTTCTCAACCAAAGCAAAATCACACATGATAGGCAGAATCATACAATTCTGACAGTGGCAGCCTATATAGCAAAATACCACAGATACATATGCCTCATCGAAAAGACATACTGGTGGTGGTTTTGAAAACTTATAAAGTTTTCTCATTGCTAAAGTTTTTTTGTTGCAACACTTATGCCATGACAAACACTTGAACCTTCAGCTCCGACCATTGACATACACATTTCCTAACGGCGCATGATTGCTTGAGAAGGAAATGTTAAAATACCAAGCTTTCTAACATTCGAGGGCATGATTTAATCACTACCGCCATCGCTTCGGAAAGTTAGGCCATTGCAATCTTAGATCAGCTCGGCTCTTATAAGGGAAGGTCGGTCGCGAACTTAAAATGGTCGGTTACCACAAAATTCATACTATACTTGGCGAAATTTGAAGATTTTCGTCGAATGAATGGATATCGAAAAAATTCGAAAATAAAAAATCTCAAATAAACGAATATCGAATAAACTTGAGATTTAAAAAATTTTTGAATGAATGAATCCCAAATAAAATCTGAAAATAAAAAGTATTGAATGAATGAATATTGAATATATATTCGATACATATATAATTATATTCGAACGTTGGGAGTCGAATTCCGAATAAATATTCGAATGATTTATCGAATAACTAAAGCAACTGTGTAAAAGCTGCTGAATACCCAGCTAAAGCCGATTTATTCCTAATCAGCACCCTCGCACCCCATGTGCCAACTCCCAACTACGTAGCTCAAGATTTTCCAAAAAACGGTAAAATCGACAGAGTAAATTTTCATTCATAATCAGCACCCTCATCTACTCACTGTACCAACTCCCAGCACCGCAACTCTAAGTTCTTCAAAAATCGGTAAATGTCTGCTACTTTACGCATTACGTGCTTATCGGAAACTGAACGAAACCTTATTCTAAGGTGATATTAGGTCGTTCCGAAGGCTTTTTTCGTTTTTTAATCTGCCATAAAAACACGTGGAGTAAAAGGCAGGCAAATGCTCTAAGCAAGAGAAGCGCATTTTTCTGCCTCTTTCCAATAGTTTTGTTTCGAAACCATTTGCTTTGGTGTTTCGTATGATAATTGTTGATTGGAACCCATGGTTTTTACCACGCCCAACTTCGGTAGTTTTTCAAAACCTTCCTTCCAATCTTTGGAAAACTTTTATAGCAGTCAGATGCGTAAGCAAAATGCAATGCAATGCAATTTTCTTGCACCTTCAAATATCTTCTTGGTATTTTTAGGATAACTTTCCCAAAACTCTTCATTTTCGTGAAATATACAAACGCTCAAACGCTAACAAATCGTCGGAATTTGAAACTTGCAAAGATAGATTATAATAACACACTAATTCTAAGAAGCATCAAAGCGTTCGTCGTTTAAAACCAAAAATTTTGATAATTGCATCTCCGAATACGAATTGGAAAGAAAAAATGCTTATCAAAAAGGAAAGAAAGCTGCATCGAATGACACCTTATCTGTGTTCCGTTTCATGTTTTGTGAGTTTTGGAACGAACAAACTTGGAATTTGATAACATCAAAAACATGACTTTGAAAATTTTGGAAAGCCAGCTATAAGTGCCAAGAAATTTCAGCACTGCACTTTTTTACGCTATCTAACTGCTATCAAAGCTTTTTCAAAATTGAAGAAATACTCTGGAGAATTACCAATTGGACATGTTAATTGGCTAACAATTTCGGCAATTATTTCAATAACCACAAGAGCAACCAGCACAAAAACATGACTGCTAAAAAGAGTAAGAAAAGCTGCGTGGGGCAGTGTTTGAGACGTTTACCTGTCTTTATTCTACCGTTTCTATGATATGCAAAAAAGGAAGGAACTTTTGGAACGACCCAATGTAACTGCAAAATTAAGCAACCGTCTATTACTCCACCACAGCTGAAATATCTTTTACACACTATACACCTTTATTAGCGAAAAATCCCTAATGAGGAAAGCTACCTAGTTTAGCTTTTGTCAAGTGACATATACGTTCTGAATCAGCTTTGAACGCTGATTCCAAATATGCTATTTCTAGCTGCCGTGCACCATTTCCAAGCGAGTTAGGGCTTTTTCCTGCGCAAAATTGGCATACTACTGGACATGGGAAGAGTGTGTGTAGATAACAATCTGTAAGAAAAAGGTGCTGAGATAACGAATAACGCAAATCCAATCTTTTCTTACTAACAAGAAGCTTAACGCAAGCGTATTAGCACCTACAAGCAGAGATGCGAAGTGCAAGCCGATTCTCCCCCTACCTTCACTTTTGACCTGGTGCAGGGTGACTACCTTCACTTTTGGCGCAAATTTTTTCGCTGATTGATATAAAAGGAAAATAAGTGAAACAAACGCAAAAGAGATTACTAAAGCATATATATATATAGTATTACACTTTTGGGAACTCGCCGTAACCTGTCGCGAGCTGCCGAAGGACATCACCCGCCATAGACGTCCACTCCTGGCACTTCCCATGAATTCGGAGAACAAAGCTTCTTGACAAATTTCAATTAAAGAGTTTTAACCAAACGGTTTTCTTTAGGGTCAACAACTGTGACCCAACGGTCCCCTTTGGGGCCACAGATTCGATGAAAACAGCAGCATAAATGTTCTGAATAAACATGTTAATCGGTATAAATGGTGTATTTGGAAGTAGAGTCGAGCTAGACTCACGTATTTTATTGGGTAGATTTTGTTATAACGTATTGCGAAGAAAGTAAATCGATCCAGGCAGTAACGCCGACAACCAGAAATTCGAATGATAAAATAACGAAAAATTATGCGAAATTTTTACTGTTATAAATCTGATGTTTGAAGATGTCAGCAACTGCGACTTCATAGATGTGAAAAATCATTCAATTTGAAAAGTGAACGCCGAGAGACAGAACTTCAAAGAATTAGGCCACTTTTGAATTGCTTAGTGACAGGCATTTAAACTCCTATGATTCTTAAATGTAAAGATGTGCGATGTTGAGACTTCTTAAACTTTGTAGAGTAAGGTACGTTCTACTAGATTATCTCTTAGCCGTACCGATCCGTTGAAAAAGCGTCGAGACTTTGTAGATATAGACTTTTGAAAAAATCATGTGAAAAAGCGCCTTTTAAGGTTTAATAGCTCAAAACACTTCAGAACTGCATAAGTCATGTTGCGATTTCATAGGTTGGACTCTTCTCATCAAGAGCTTTCAGATGACACCAAATATGTAGAAATTTAGAGCCTCCTAGGACTTATGCCCGGGAAGAGGCTTTTCATAACTAATTCTCCCTTCGCGCTGAGGTGCGAGAATTCCCTCAGAGGTCGCGCTACTGCCACATATGATATTAGGTTGTCCCGAAAGTTTTGTCGGTTTTTTCAAATCACTGCAAAACCACGCACAATAAAGATCTGAACGAGCTTCAACATGCATTCGATGCAGCTTTTCCTTCTCTTTCCAATGGATACATTTTCATACCAAAATCTTGTGTGCTTTTGTTGATAATTGCCAAAATTCTCCACCTGTCAATTTTACCTGCTCAAAGTTTGGCTAATTTTTAAAAGATTCATTACAAAGTCTCGAAATGCACTAAGCATGTATCAAATAGAGCAACTCTCGGACTACAAGCAGGTATTTTTAGATCCTCTAATCCGCTGATTTTAGCTTCAAAAAATTATTTCTTCGGAGGTCTCGATTTTTGGCAAAGTCATGAGACACGCAACTGCATAAAACACATGAAAGCTTTTGAAGTTTTTGCGTATTGAAACATAATTCTTATTAAACATCATTATGCACCATAAGAAATTTTGATTCGCTTCGAAAAAGCAGGTTTTTGGAATTTTTGGTACTTTTACGTGTTAAACTTAATCAAAAAGCCGCGGTTTTTATTAAATAAATAATTATAACGGGCTTGGTAGACGCGGTTCATGTAATCCAAACTGATACAGTGTAGCCAAAGGTTTGCTCTATATAACAATTACTAGCGCTCTTTCAAAACATCAGAATAAAAAATTCTAAAACATCAGAATAAAAAATTCTAAAATTCAGGAAACATTTGACGTTACCGTAAAGCTGCTCAAAAAGCCATGGCGATAACACTGCAAAGACGAGGTAGATCAGAAAGCAAGTATAGCTGTAAGTAAGAGTATAAAAATCTGAATCAAACAGTACCTAAGCCGCCCATGGACTGGTGTTCTGTGAGTTTTAGTTAGCGATGAAAAAACCGACAAAACTTTCGGGACAACCTAATATATTGATCAAGACAGCAGAAAATTTGTAGTTTATTAGCATACAGTACAAAAATACAAAAACAAAAGAAAATGTCTCAAAAAACAAAAACTACCCTTATACAAACTATCTATACGCAGCTACGGCTTCTGTAAATAGTTTTTGTATAAAAATGTCGAAAAACATCACAGAGAAAACCATTTGATAGCAATGTGAATGTAAAAGTTGAAATGTAAATTTGATTGTGATTTTTTGTTGTTTTTTATTTTTCCAGACATTGTTGTTTCTGTATATTTTTTGTATTGCATCTTGCTGATAAACTACAAATTCAAAAATTATCTCCAAAAACGACGGATTTACTACATACGTATTTTGAGCAAGATGCTCTGACTGAAGACTGTATAGCTGAGAGATAGACCTTTGGAACCTCAGCTGCTCTACACTATTTCTCATTTTATACCTCTTGAATGAGCTCTAATATGCATTCGATGCAGCTTTTCCTTCTCTTTCTTACGGATACTCTTCGAACCACAATCTTGAATGCTTTCTTGCCAAAATTCTCCATCCGTCAATTTTATCTGGTCAAAGTTGGGCTAATTTTCAAAAATTTCATTCAAAAGTTTCAGAAATGGTTAAGTGTAAATCAAATAAAGCAGTACCCGGGCTGCAAGGCTATTTTTAAATTCTGCTAATCTACTGTTTTTAGCTTCAAGAGGATGGGGATAAAGGGGATAAAAATGTGGAAGGGGATAAAATGTGAATTAAACGATACCTAGGTCGTTCATGGATTGGTGGTTTTGAATTTTATGAGTGATGAAAAAGCGACAAAACAACCGACAAAACTTTCGAAACGGCCTAATATACTTTCGATTTAATTTTGTATTCATTCAGTTATTTTT